GATCAAGCAACATTTGTGAAATGGGAAACATTGCATTCAGAAGACAAGATATGTGAAGGGGTAACCTGTATCCCCAGATGTACAAAATCAGCAAGCTCATACCACAATGGAGAGCACGCGAGGTGCAACAACTTCCATTTCCTAATCTGTTGAGGGGTGACTATATATAAAAGAGTAGTTACAGGAAGAGATGATTAATCAATGGGTTTTCTAACTATTGTCAACACAAGTGGCTTTGATTACATTGTGGTAGCAAGTGTGTGAATGTGGGCAGCTCTGAAGGACTCCATCTCAGGATAAAGCATGGAGCAGCTGGTTAGGGATAATACATGGTAGAAAGGACCAGTGGGATAAGCAATGAATTGAGCAAACTGGCAGGCCTACTGCTTTCACAAGCTTTAGAGTAGAGGTGCACATCATGGTTTTGAGAAAGAAGCCTGTGAGCTTTTGAGCATTTTACTCAAAGTAAAATTTTATCCAGTGTGCCAAGTGTGAAGGTACTTGAGACACAGGCAGGTGCCTGTCCTTTAAGACCCTCTGAGTCAATGCCTCAGCAGCATCAGAAATAAGAGGACAGGATAGTTTCCTTCTCAAGTAGCAAAGACTGGTAGGAATGATGGGGGATACTGATGCATCTTGCATGCTGAGAAACCCCTTTGCTGTGTGGTTGCTTGATTTTCCTTTTGGTTCCATATTCTGAACCCCTCCATTTCTGGCTCAATTTGAGGATACTTGCTCGGTTTGGGGGATTTCTTACTTGTACAGTTCCCTTATGCGAATTGCCTGTGCATTTTCACCAAAGGACTCTGTCATGTTTTTCAGATGTAGAACAGGGATATTTCCTCTCTGGTCTCATAGCGCACTGTAAATTTGAGGAGCAGTTGTGTGGGAGGATATTTCACTCGATATAGAGTGTTGTGGACATTTTGCAACATATTCATGTCTGGGAAGATAAGGAGCTACAGGGCTGGCCAACAGCAGAGCGTACATGTTAAAGAAGGAGTATGACTTTGCTATTTGTGAACAAGCAAAGAAGTGAAGGTTGGTGTGGAAAAAAAACAGATCTTATGCTCTCAAGTATCAGTGAACAGGAAATAGTGATTATACCATAGGAGGGTACACAGGCAGCACACATATCTAATTGTGAGACAATATATTGTGTATATAAATACACTTGACCTACTATTGAGATGTTGTTATGAAAAGCAGTTAGAGTCTTATGTTAATAGTATTTTATATCAAATTTATTGATACCAAATTTAATTAGTGATCTCACTCATCAAACAAAACACTAGCCCTGTAATAACACACTTGACAACCACTTATGAGAGAAATGAAAGGGGAGAGAGAGAGTAGAGGGAAAAGAATGAGATAGCAAAGTGATACGACCTGTCACATCTTGAAGAAAAGGAGAGCTTGGCCAGCTGAAGAGGAACCCAGAGTGGTATTGCTCTGGCTTCCTTTTATGTGTCTCTTGCTGTGGTTGCACTTGGTATGGCATGCATGTCTTTTGGCCACTAACCTTATTTTATACATGCTCTTGTGAACTGCAAAACTGAGGTGGAGAGCTGGGAGCCCTCTGGTTCCCCCTGCCCACCTGCGTTCATCCGATAGGGCAGTCATAGTTTTAAGCAAACATGGTGGTGAGACAAGAACAAGAAGCCACTGACCTTCTGATCCAATGTGCCTGTCTTTATTTATTATTGTGTCTGCTGCAGTTTTCCGTGCCATACTGCCAGTGGAATCTGCAACAGGGCTAAAATATTCAGTTTATCAGGCGCCAACAATGTTCCTTCCCACTACTGTTGAGAAGCATAGTCTCCTATAGGGAAGTCTCCTAAACTGCTTACAAACAAGTGATTTCTCTAGTATGCTTAGACTCACCAAATCAATTATTTCCATACTAAAAGGTGAAGCAAGCCTCAGAGCTCTGAGAGAACTTTTGTAGTTTGTTCCCATCCCTTCCAATAAGTCAGCCCTGCAACCAGACCCTTTTAACTCAGCAGTGAGAGTGTGACTCAAGAAGAGAGGTGTCTTTTAGATGGGTCACTCTCAGATCATTTATAGACTTGCAAATCTTACTCATGTTATTGAAGTATGCTGATTTTGTGCATTAGCAGCTTGGGACCTAGAACTTGTCTGCAGTAAAAATGTTGGCAACAGCTGTGAGAAACACCTTTAATCAAAAATATAACAAAATAGTGTGCCAGGCAGAAACAAAATCAGAAGTAGCAAGGCCACCAAATAATCTTAAGAACAGTGGTCTCCCTTGCCAGTTAAACAAGAAATCATTCTGGATGTATGTAAGTGGGATGGCAAAATCCAAGGAAAGTAATGATCTATTGCCATCAGTAGAGGGGCTGGGAGAAAAGGCAAGCCATGGCTAGATGTTAGTGAGGAGGGGAGTTTTTTTGTTGTTTGTTTTGTTTTAGTAGTATGTTCACCCGCTTATAGTTGATTTGAACCTGTATTGGAACAAGGGTGTGTTTTTCAGTATTAAAGAGGAAATGTCAGAAAGTATTAAATTAGATGTTTTCATCTTAATATCCGGTATGCTTCAGCCTACAGGAGTGACTGATTCTGAGCTCTACAGTGGCTCTTAGAGCAGTAGGAGAGAATACTAAAGGTAATTGACTTTAGTATTTAGTACTTGGGTTTAAAAAATGCTAGGAGTGAGTTATATTAAGCCACTTTCTCTTCTGCTTCAGATTAACTAGTCTTTTAGGCAGAGAAGAAGATGAAAATCTTAGGGATTTTTATTTTACCCAGGTTTCTAATGCTGCCTCACATCCTGTTCTCATTAACATGTTCTAAAATAAAGTACCAGAAAGCAGATGCAAATCTGCCTGGAAAACCATACCTCAAGAGACTGTCAACAGTTCACTGCCAATAGTGTAGTGAAGTACTGGGGGACACGGGACCAATACCAGTTAGTATCCCCGCTAACCATGCAAACCATGGGAGGGAAAAACACAATTGCTAAACTAACGACAAAGGACACCAACTTGGGAGAGCTGCAAACCCACAGGTGCTGAACACGGGAGCCAAGGGGGATCCTACAAGGACACAATCCACGCAGGGGCAGCAGGTAGGGGCCCACACACGGCCGCGGGTTGCAGAAAACGCGCCCGCCTCGGCGGAGGGGCCGTCCCCAACGGCCGCCGTACAACGGCTGCACTGCAGCCCCCAGAATGCACCACGCGCCACCGGCGCCCGCAGCAGGGCTCTGCGCGCGACAGGAAGGCAAGGACGTCGGAGGCGGGGCATAACAAGTACTTCTCTGCCATTGGTCGATCCACTCCCCCTTCTAGCTGTGCTTCTCCGCGGCTATTGGGTTAGCAGGGCTCGGGGGCGGGCACTACGCGTTCCTTTCTGCTCATTGGGGGAGATCATGCACCACGCGCCACCGGCGCCCGCAGCAGGGCTCTGCGCGCGACAGGAAGGCAAGGACGTCGGAGGCGGGGCATAACAAGTACTTCTCTGCCATTGGTCGATCCACTCCCCCTTCTAGCTGTGCTTCTCCGCGGCTATTGGGTTAGCAGGGCTCGGGGGCGGGCACTACGCGTTCCTTTCTGCTCATTGGGGGAGATCAAATCGCAAAGGAGCGGGGCGGAGATCGGCGCGCTTCTTCCCCCGCCCGTTGGGCGCGGATGGAGAGGAGGGCGGGCTC